CGAAAACCCAGGAAGCGTGTTCGACCAGCGACGAAAGGCCACGAGACGATACTTACACGTCGAGGTGCAATCACACAAATGGCACCAGGGGAACCAGCGTCGACTCGCGGTGTCCAACCTGGAGGCATCTCCGTTTGCTCGCTCGCGCGCGCGAATTCCGTTTCGATATTCGATCGGGCATCGTTATGAGCGAGAGAGAAAGAGGTCGTGACACACGTAGATCGAACCGTTCTTCTCGGGCCACGTACACATGCATATGTATAATAACAATAATGGCAGCGGTGCTCTCGCGCCGCGAGAAAATAATGTGAGAACGATTTCTTCCTGGGCGCATCATTATCTCCCTCTTTTCTGTTCGCGGCGATCGATCTGTCGAGCCGATTCCGAGCCGGACCGGACAACCCTGCAATTACTATCTATTATCTCCTGGCGTGGGTGTAGGTATAATCTCGCGATCGTGTCGAGAGCCACTCCGTTCTCTTCTTCTTCCCTTCTCCTAACCCCCTTCTGTCCTCCTCCAGTCGATTCTCTTCGCCCCCTCCCCTCCCAACCCCTCACTGAACCCATCTCGGCTTCGCCTCTCCTCGAAACACTAACCTCCGTTAACGGAAAGCAGAGCAAACAGAGAGAGGCAGAGTCTCCAGTCGAAGGGAACGGTCGTGATACCGCTCCGTGGAGGATGAAGAGAACGAGGACGGTTACAATGGCAGAGTGTCGTGCGCCGACAAGAAACCGGTCTTTTTGCCACCACGGCTACGGAACATCCTTCGAGTGTTTTCTAGACCCCGCGACACCTCACGATCATTCTCCCCACTTTTCTATGATCCTGAAAGAACCGAGCTGCTCTGTTAACTGACGATCGAGTCCTGCGGTTCAGGTGAATTGATACGATCCTCTGGTCGAGGTTCTATGAGCTTGTGTATGTTAATAGTTACGGATCTTTTCACATTTATGATCGATGTATAGTTTTGGGATTGTGTAAACCTGATTATCGGTTTACAGAATTTTTGTACACCTGGGGAAGTGGATAACCTTCTGTTCCTATGATTATTGCGATTGTGAAGGTGGTTGCGAGAGACTTTAATGCATTCCCATTATTTCCTCACAAACTTCGATACCTTAAACACTTGTCAGAAGTTAAACTCTTGAATCAAATATGTGTTATTGTTCCGTATCTCAGGATAAAATAACCGGAATACCGTCCAGTACCTAATACCGAAGGAATTAGTTGCATAGTCCCGTTCTCTGATCGTTGTATTTCAAATCGTTGAAACAAGTCCTCGAGGAAATAAAGGGAAAAAGGGTATTCAGTTGTCAACGTGACAATGTTAACGACAACAAGTGCTCGCACGTAAAAAGAACACGTATCCATGGAAAGCAGTCGAACCTCCTCGGTTTTCGAGCTTTCAGTCCGCTCCTTGAACGCTCGCTTGTATTAGCATATGCAAATACCCCTGGTAAAAGGGGGTCAAGCTTATTTATGTATTTCGTTGCCGATGCTTTTTCCTCCCGGCCACGGATCCGGGACAGATTTGCTCCCGTTCGAACCCATTTTTACGAGCATCTGTTGCACTCTGATTTACGTTCGCTTAATGAATTTATAATTTCTTGCTGGAGAGGCCCGAGAGTGGAAACGCGCGAACGAACCCCCGGTTAAGATTGTCGGACAGCGAATCGGACGTTTAATGGACGGATCGGGCCTCGATGGTAATTTTGCGACGGCTGAGTATTAACGGCAAGAAAGTGTTTGGTCTTTTTCGAAACGCAGTCTTCGGGGATGCGTAAATTCCGTTGGTATTTGTAAAATCGAACTATTTAAGAATCGTTAATTGTCAGGGTTTAAGTACACACTTATACGTTGACCGAAAAGTTAATTATAATGATATACAAAATTTTAATCGAATTCACCGCAATTTCCATTTTACGTCTGGTATAATGAAAGCATTAACGAGCAAAGAATTCAAGTTAGGCATAAATAGTATAGTTAGGGGGTGCCCTACTTTTACACCAATTACATTTATTAATTATAATTTCTTCTAAGCAGATTTTATTATATGTTGGTTATGTGTATTTCTCTCTGTATCTTTTACAAATTTGCAATCTGATCCGGTGTCAGGAGTACCAATCATCGATCCACGATCTTTTTCGAATCGGCTAACGATACAATGTAACTTCGAAATATCTATTACCAACATCTTTTCCTTAACACCAGGACCACCAAAACATTCCCGAAGCAATGTTTGTTCCAAAATACGGATTCCGATGGAAATTTTAACGAACCAAAGGAGAGGAGAATTTTTCAGGGCTCAGCGAATCCTTTTCCAGAAATGATTCAGCGTTCCATACACTCAGAATTCCCACAGTAGCGAGCCAGCAATCGCGAGTTCTTCGTCTTCGTCTTCTTCTTCTTTCCTTACCTCCTCCGCCATGATTCGTGGATTCCCCCACCCAGCCATGCCACTTTTAAAGACTCGCGCGGGGGCTCCCGGTGGGGATTCCAGATGGTCGTTTTCTATGGATTTACATTATTTACAAACTGGTTTCGCGCGATGTGAAATAAAAATCGTTGTTTCCCCATCCCGCCACCGCCACCTTCAGCCCGACAGAAGCGCGTCGAAAAAACCGTGGAAAGGGATGGCGCGCCCCCTCCCACCACCTCACCTGACTCTACCCCTCGAAAGACGTACGACTCGCGCGGCATTGTGCGACGTATATGTACGTCACCGTGCCTGTCCCCCCGATTCGTAAGTAGTGTATACACGGTCGACGCCTGCCCGAGACGAAAAAATTGATCCCGTGAACGGGTCCACGTTGGTGAAGCAAAAAAAGGGAGGGGAAAAACGACCCTCGAATTATCCAATTCTGGGATCGTCGAACTTCGATTTGTCCCTCGGTTTTCGGACGATTTTGCTTTTTCTCGTGATTGTCTCGGAATGGTGAAAAAACGTCCCGATGGGACCCTATCTCTGTGGGTGGTTCGCTCGTCTTCGATCTGGATTCGCTCGTTGTTTCGTTTCATTTTATTGCGACCGAGCTAAACGATGATTATAATGGCTTTACGAGCGTTCTCGATTGGTTACTGTGTATGATTCTATAACGCGATATTGCGAACTAAAAATGGAAGAGAAACGCATTTTATTTGTATCGATGGATGACGGATTTTATGCATTTATTTATGGAATATACGGTGAAATGAGGATTTTAATGAAACGTGATGCAAATATTGTATCCATTTAGTCAGTGATAAAAAAAAAAAGTATAAATCAAGTCAACGTTCGCCTTTACACGGTGAAACATCAGACGTCACCGTAGACCGTGTTGGAACATTTTCACACCGACGGCCATATATTACCCCCAGTTAAACGCAAGCAAGCCTAGTTGTATCTAAGCGAAAATAACCGGTTTTATCTAAACTACGTTGTACCGGTGATTAGCACGGGAGGGTCCCCCTCGTTTTCCGGCCCGTGTCAGCAGCTCGCAGTGTGTATCGAATGAATTTTCAATTTATATCACCGTGAGAGGCGGAGGCGGCCGATTCGAACGATTCCGGAACAATTAAACGATAAACGGGAGACGACGCCCACGTTCAGCCGCGTGTTTGCGTAATATTGCATTTCAAACGAGGCATGAAGGAGGCATATCGTGAACAGATTCACGTGCAGAGAGAATTTCCGCGGAAAAACTGGCCCCTTCTTTTCGATGCGACGTATGTTGTTGATTGATTACTGTCTATGATTCTATAACGCGATGTTACGAACTAAAAATGGAACAGAAACGCATTTTATTTTTATATACTATGAAATGAGGATTTTAATGAAACGTGGTGAAAATATGGTATCCATTTGGGTTATTGTTTAACGCAATGAAACTATTATAAGAAGGCGTTTGCGTAATATCGCATTTCAAACGGGGCACGAGGGGGTCGTATCGTGAACCGATTCATTTGCAGAAAGAATTTTCTCGGAAGAACTGTGCCCTTTTCTTCGATGCGACGCGTCGCTCTTAATTAACGCCTGTACGCCGATTAGACCACTTGTAATAAGCGCCGATACACCGACTGACACTCCATATTTCACGATTTTAATGATCCCATAAAAGCTTGGCCCCCTCCGTAGGCATCGAAGAATTTTCAGAGAAAGAGAGAGAGAGGTAGATTAAGGCCAAAGGCGAACAGAGAGTGTGGCAGAGGGATAAGAAGAGGGAAAGA